GGTCGCCAACTCTCAGGAAGGACGTTCTAGGGCTTGAGAGAGTTCAAAGAAGGGCTACAAAATTAATTAAAGGGATAGAAGGCCTGAGTTATGAAGACCACCTGCAGCAACTAAACATATTCTCCTTAGAAAAGAGGCGCTTAAGAGAAGACCTTATTGCAGTCTACAAAATCATTAAAGGGGACCACAATATTTGGAACATGATGTTGTCACCAAGAACAGTATTGAGAACACGCGGACACAACAAGAGGTTAGAAGAGAGGGGGTTCAATCTTAGAACACGTTAGGGTTTTTTTTTTACTGTGCAAGTAGTAAAAATATGCAATTCCCTTCTATAGGCAGTGGTATCCTCTGATAGTTTAAATAAGTTGAAGAAACTTCTAGATGAGTTCCTTCAGTCACTAAATATACAAGGATATGGGAAGTGCTAAATATATATAGACTATATAGCTAAATATAATATATATATATCACTCACACGCACACACATAGGTTGAGGGCTTGTTCACACCAAATGCAGACCAGATCTGCATGAGTTTTGCACACGCAGTGCAGTGTGTTATACCGCGTTTTTTATGCGTTCCGTGCCGTTTTTTTAGTTTAAAATGGGCTTTCAGTGCGTTGCAGGGCATTTGCATGTGTTATTGATGCATTTGCATGCATTTCAGAGCATTCCGGGGCAGGTAAAATGGGCTTGCTGCAGTTTTTTTACATGCTCTGGAACTGAACGCTGCGGTGTGAACTAGAGCCCAAAATACCATTGGAATACATTGGACGCAGTTTTGAGCCGGTCTGTAACTGCTCTGCTCCTGGAACACGCTTGGTGTGAACAAGCCCTGAACTGGATGGACCTTGGTCTTTATTCAACCTCACCTACTATGTTACTGTTACAAGCTTTCCGAAACATTTTACTTTTTAGCTATATATTGCTACTATACACGTGACACTCTCATGATTGCATTTCAATGTTGTAACAACATTTTAGTCTTATATACGAAACAAATGTAAATACTGTAATTAGAACTCTTCTAAGCACGGTTTCATTTCATCTTGTCTTTTGGACTTTGTCCCTTCACAACTCTACCCCTATTTTAAATTTGATGTCCAGATCTGTATTACTTAGCTGCCAAAAGTGTTTAAGTTGCTAATTTTGTGAAACTGCAATCTGTGAATTATTGTGCTCTTTTCTAACCTATGGGCAGCATAATTATTTTAAAAACAAGTGTGTTTAAATGATTGGCATGTAATCTTTGCCTAGTGATTGCAGCAGTGAACCAATCATCGTTTGAAAGACTTCTGTAAAGGTGCCCATACACTGTACGATTCTCGTACGAGAATCGCGGGAAATACCGCGATCGTACGAGAATCGTACAGTGTATGGAAGGCGTACGGTCGCACGTCTTCCATCGAACAAGCAGGCTGAAAAACCCGCCGGGAATCGTACGATTCTCGGCGAGTGAGTGGCCCTCTTGTTCGGCAACTGACGAACGGGCAGGTGTGCGCACGCGCACACTGCCCGTTTGCCGTGCTTGCAAGCCCGCCCCTCATTGCAGTCATCGCAAGCCCACCCCTCAAGGGGCGGGCTTGCGATGATCGCAAGTACGATCTGCCTGTCCAAGATGGGCAGATCGTACGTTTTTTAAGTACTTTACAACCATCGCAAGACTAAGGTCTTGCGATGGTTGTAAAGTGTATGGCCACCATACACAACAAAGCAAACAAACATCACATATACAAGGAAGCTCATGTCTTTGCCTATTTCAGAGGTGTATAAACTCTAACTTGGGAATTAGCTAACTCCAGAAGCAGTAAGCACTTTAAAATTAACTGTCCACCATTTTAAACATTTAAAAGTAAAAGTCTCATCTATGGTGTCTGCTTTTATATTTGAAGTCAAAAAGCACTCTCTTATGTGTGTCTCTAAATCGAGTCTCTGTGTCTCTAAATCGAGTTTTACTTTGTTACTAGTGTCTTGACATTTTTCTGTCCAGTGAAAGTGTTATTATTAGCTACTCTCATTGGACAGGGGAAGGTTATAACTGGTAGGCCTAAGTACTTATCTCAGTGAAATCAGGCCAAAGAAACAAAGTGAAGACAATTTCAATGAGGCCTACATAGGAGGGATTTTTGGAAACAAAGTTAAGTGACACCAAACTCAGACATTAAATCTTAGAAATGCATGCACATTAATTGTTAACAAAAATATAGCTTATTTGTGCATCACCCAGCTGTAGATCCTCAAATCATCTCTGAATTTGTGCTGACAATGTCCTTCCTTCTAGAGGGTGGTAAAGTAGCCACCACTCCAAGCTCGTCCCATAATGAACTACAATCTCATGTTTAGTTTACTAATTTGTATTGCTATTGTAGTCCATCATGGGAGTGAGCTTGGAGTGGTGACTACAATTACAACACTCACAGGGATCATAGGGGAGAAAAGTAGCCACCCTCCAGAAGGAAGGACTGTGTCAGCACAAATTCAGAGATGATTTGAGGATCAACAGCTGAGTGATACACAAAGAAGCTAAACTGAACTACAATCTCATGTTAAGTTTACTGTGGGGGGTCAGCAGGGCTGAGAGCAAAGAAGTGGTTAACTTTGGAGGGCAGGTACTTCCCCTACAGCCCTTCCTGTTAAAAGGTAACACAGGTGAGAGAGGAGGGGAGAGCTGAGAGAGAGAAAGGTCTGTGTGTGTGTGGGGCTGTTCAGAAGCAAGTGGACACTATCTTGGTGAGATCACCTAAATGCACTACGCAGTGCAATCTTATTGAAAGACTTTTTCGTTATGTTTGATGTTTGCTGAGGAAAGCCTTTTACTTTACCGTTTTGCTGAATAAAGCTGTTTGTTCTGTTACCGCTGGATGAAATAAAAGCTGCTTATTTATATTGGACTGTGTTGAAGACGCATGTGTACCCCTGGGGTTCCCCACAGTACTTAAATCAATTTTTACGATTAATTGCCTAAGTTTAGTGTCACTTTAAATCTGACTTGGGTGGGCATGAAACGCAGTTATACTTACCTTATCCCTCGCTCTTGCAGACTTTCTCCCAACTGCACAACTGATCCTACAAAGCTGCTGCTCAGTTCCGTTGGTCACGCTCTGATGTTGTCGCATATAATGTAGAAGGAGCAGTCAAATGATTGTGATGGTACAATACAAAAAGTTCACAAATGTTATCGAGCTGTAATATTTTAGGCACACTAGTTAGGTGGCTTCTGGGATGTGTCCTTTCTGAAATACTCTATTTGTGCAATACAACACTATTGTCAACATACACACTGCTGGGTCATGCTACCCAATATATTTAGGAATTATTTGCATATTTTGGTTGTTATGCTACAAACATGTATGTGTTAATACATTAATCATAATAGGTGCAGCATCTATGAGAGACAAGTGACCTTGGGTATATACATCAGCTGTAATCCTCTAGACTTTTTTGCTTGCTAGTTTCTCAGCTGTGCCCAGTCTTGTCCCATAAACAAAACAAACAGTCACAACTATAACAAATGTAAGGGTTATATTTACATCCACCATAAAAATATTTGAGTTCTGTTGGGGTTTATGTATATTCTTATTGGTCAAGCTTAAGCATGCAAATATTGGTTTGTAATCTTGAATAATAACAGCAGTCCAAATAATACACTTGTCCTTATGTCTTATTACAAATGGTCTGCATTTCACTATGTTGCCTACTTCCAGATATCGGATTATTTTGCTAGTAAACAAAGCAAAAGCCTTTTTGGGTATCCTGTATAAAGTAAGTCTTAGTATTTATCAAAATGTTTCTGCCTTTTCATTTTCTACTGTTTAAAAATATGACAAGCTAGACTTTTCCTGGTTGCTAAGGGCAACAGATGATTTCCATTCAGACCTATCGATATGTGATGCCCTCTTGAAACCTATGTAAACTTGGAGAATTAATTCCACAAGCTTACCAGCATCAAAGAGGAGGTCACCATGCTGCCTGCCATATACATCTAAAATTAATGTGAATATGACATTTAAAAAAAGAAAATCTGGTCTTTGTTAATATTTTCAGCTTAAAAAAAAAAAGGGCTACACAGAAATAATGAACACAGGCATTAATATTGGTCTCAAGAGCTTGCAGTCTATTTCAAGGTGACTCTCTGAAATGGGTCATAAAGCTGCCTGAATCAGACACAATGAAATTGATTTTTTTTTTATTCCTGAGAGGGACATTGGCCCTGCAAGGAAATCGCTCTCAATCTTAACACTCTTTGTACACACCTCTGAAACCTCTTTGTTTTTATCACTGAATATTCAAAAACCTTCAAATGGGTTAAAAATGCAGCATATCTGTTCTATGTTAACGGCGAAAGATTACAGACAATTACACAGTTAAACTAAGCACACATTAGAAAAACACATTAAGAATGCAGGTAATTTCATATCATGCAGTGATGAAGGAAAAACGTCATTGCAGAGAATTTGTGACAAGGAGTACAACAGTCATTTTAGGCGTTTGCAAAGCATCGACACCGCTGGACTGTACTCAGTCGCCACCGCTTATAAGGCGACCCATCGGAATCTTTATGGCTTTGGTTAATTAGGAATATTGACATATAATCACACACTTGCAGACAAATCTCTATAGCTTGCATCTGCCTAGAACAATGTTGCCCACATATGGTTTCTAGGGCAGGGAGCTGTAAAATCCCAGGAGCCCTGGAAACCTTTTATGCTCCTGACTATGACAGCTGCTTTTCTGTTCGTGCTACAATCTCCTTGGTAAATTGAGAAGCATTATAACACTAAAAATATAGTACCTTCCCTATATTCATTTTTCTCCCCCCCTAGTATCTGAGAAGTATCCTTTTCCCTGCAAGCTCCTCAGCATCCCTTTCTTAAGCAGAGATGAGCATCCGCAGCATCACCAGCTACCTCTTCCACTGCCAGTACCCATCTGCTTAACACACAAGTAAAGAAATACCTGCTACTTAAGAATGGATGCACAATTTGGGGGGATAACATGCCTTGAGAAGGTGTGTTGCCCATGTTGCTCTCTTCCTTTCAAGCTTCCTCTCAGCGAGTCGATCAGGCCCTGCCGAGCATTGAGGTGGGAGGTGTGTAAATGTGAGAGAGGGAGAAGAAGGAGACGGAGAAAGGGTGTGCAAGTGTGTGATGATGTTCAGGGGAACAAAACAGGAAGAGCTCAGTCTCTCATGATACATTAATGGGCAGTCATCATTCTTCCTTCTCCCTCTCTTAAAGGATCCCACATTAACTAACAGGAGAGGTGTCAGGGATTATGCTGGGGAATTATTATGCTAATCAGAGGCTGCGTTCTATGTGTATGTAGGATAGAAGGGGAAGGGCTAGAAAGCACAGATACATTAAAAATGTCACTCATGAAGATGACTCAAAGCCCTGGTTTCGCTGGGATTCCCTATAGGAGCTGCCTCCCCCCACCTTCATTAAATGATGAATGCAAACTGGGAATAAATAGATATCGAATTTTGTGCATTGGAAACATGTAGGCAGAATTTATAACCCCGTCAGTGCTTTACATTTTTCCCTGTGCCTGTTCTCTGACCAGGAACAAAAGGTCGTCTTTCAAAGCTCACGAAGAGAATGGTGTGTGTCCTCAAATCAACACTGAAGGAGAACAGTGGAAAAGGAGGAAAATAGTTCAAGACATCAAGCATTTACAGATGGGTAAAGTATGAATGTACAGTGCGCAGCTTATTATCTATCTTCTTATTGTTTATAAATAACATTTCTTTGTCTAAATCTCCTCTGATGTTTACTAGCGCATTATCATATTATTGAAAACCTCTGCGTCTAAGCAAGCTCCGTTCCATATGAAACGCGTAGGGCCCCTTCACACCTTTGGGCGCATGTTGTTACAAGATGGTTGCTGATTGGTTGCAAACAGGGCCGTCCCTATAATGAGGCAGCTAGAGGCAGTATCATTGGGGAGCGCCCGGGTGGTTGGGAGGCTGCAGAGGGATGGTCACGGCGCACTTAGCAACGCCGACTTCCAGTGACGACAGTGAGCTGGGTGGGACACTGGACAGTGTGATCTGGCGTCCGCCACCCCCCCTCCCATTGAACGACAAGTGAGCTGCGCATGCCACCCGCCCGACCTGTCTCTAACAGAACCCCCCTAAAAAATCATAATAGCCTCAGGAGACGAATACCTAAGGGAAAGCCCTGGTTACAAAAAGCAGGTAGCCCATCATTCTTATAAAAAAACCTTTTAGGGTCCATTCACACCACAAGCTCAGCCCCAACACAAGACAAGGTAATCTGCGGGGGTAACGTGCTGGTGTGTGCTGAAAAATTTATGGAATGCTGCTGGAAGTGGTTATACAGGCGATTGCTGTTTAAATACAAGTGATCCGGCGTCTGTACAAATGCCGGATCGCTTGTATGGTGTGGCGCTGTGTCCCCCTACCCCCCCCCCCCCCCCGACCCTTGTGAGCCCGGGACTGGTGTAGAAGTGGTGTTCCCCTGATAGATCGGAGGAGAGATCAGTGGCTTCCAGACGCTGAGCTCTCCTCCGATCACTGGACCCGAAAGTGATATGCATTACATCACTTCCGGTGTCACTGGACACAGTCTCCGGCTCCTAGAGCCAGAAGAAGAAGCTAGGAAGCAGATCTCTGCTTCATCAGCTTCTTTGGGGTCCCTAGGTGACATTAGGGGTCTGAAAGACCCCTGATGTCTCCATAAAAAGGACCTGTCACATTATATTTGCTATTACATAGGGTGCTTGTTAGGCCACTATGCAACAGCAATAAAGCTGAGTGTAAAAAATAAAAATTAAAAAAAATTAAAGTAACATGCCCCCCACCCCCCTGTGCACGCACATACAACGCAAACATGCGTCTGATATGCTTACATGCAAAAACAAAAATTTCGCCACACATTTTACATATCGTCGTGAGCGTCTGAGTGAGCCCAATAATTTTAGGGCCATCAATCCCTGTTAACACTAAACAGATGAGCCGTAAAAGCGTTTAGTGTCATCTATGGGAAATTTGGGTTATTGTAGTTTTGTGCGATTTCACGGATGCACGCAATTTTAAGGCTTGACATGTTTGGTATCTATTTACCCTGCGTGACCCCATCTTTTACCCAAAAATTGGGCGTTCTATTCTGTTCCGGTGCACTAAATTTCATTTTAGTGTATTGTATCCTAAAAATACTTGTTTGATAAACATTTGCGCAAATACCGTGCAACTAGCATCTTTTTAGGTAGAAAATGATTGAAAGTTCAAGTCCATTGTTCCATTAAAAAAATGATTAGGAACAGCAAACAAACAAACACAAAAAAACACAAAAAAGAAACAGAAATGGTTCTTCTTGCTTTTGGCCAGTGGCTAGTAAAGGGTCCCCAACTGATTGGTATATGCACTTTAAACTAGAGACTGCTGGCAAAAGAAAAAAAAAGCTTCTGTAAGTGATCTGGTAGAGAGTCCTTATTTCCAAAAGAGAAAAAATAAATACTTGGAAGAAGCATTGGGTGATAAACAATCCTCCTTTCCAATGACATACTTGCTTGAAAGTGGCAAAGTAATCCTAACTCCTGATTACTTGTTCATCTGCTCCTCCTGCGTTCAGGACATTGGCCCTGGGCACATATCTTCCTGTTAGTTGCAAACTTTATACACAGCTCCCATTACTCCTCAACAGTAAAACCTGGGATCTAGCAGGGTAACTGATTGGTCATATCTATCTATGGTGGTGGCAAAGAAGTAGATAGAGTCCTTGTGGCTATGTCTTTTAATGACCACTTTGTCCTGATGAATATGCCTCCCATAGCCCCAGTCAGCAGACATCCATCAAATTTCACCTCTATCCGGCTATTGAGTCCATGCCTTCTGTTAGGCTTGGGCATACCCAGAAACTCCCAGATAGCCTCTGCAATCCACTCATTCCTTTTGTCTTCTACTTCCTCCAGCACCCATGTTGGAACATACAGGTATTGGACCCCATACTCTTGTGCCACCTTCTTGTGAACTACCCGCTGAGATCTGGCCATCTTTGGTAATTTCTTAGGGTCTCCCCCACCAGGTAATATGGGCGTTTCTGATGACTTGATTGCCTGTGAGCTCGTGGAATTCGCACCCTCCTTTAAACGACAATCTTGCCAACTGGTGGTTCTATGAACAGTCTGCTTAACCACCTCAGCCACGGGGGCGTGGTTTCCGCGGCTTACAAGATGGCCGCTTAACTCGGGAGCTCCTGACCACCCGCAACCCAAAATCAGCTTCTACAGCACCTGAAGAGACGCCAAGATTAGACGTGCATTCACACTACGCACGGGACACTATTATTCAGAGGGCGATAAATGTGGCCGGCTCCTGGCCAGAGCGGTCCGTACAAAGAAGTTTAGTTCCCATATCCATAGCATCAGAAACAGCCAATGCTGGTGCACTGCATGTATTGGTGGTGTGCAGTACCCATGGCCTAACCCTTTCTCCTAAACTCTCTTCCCAATCTTCTCCTTCTTCAGACCACCTTTCGTCTGGCTGCTTCTGCTTCCAGGGAGTTAATGGTTGGTGGGCTCACGCTAACTTTTCCCCCTGCATTTGAAACTTTGAGTCTGCCCGGGGTGGTAGTCACAGCAGTAGTAAAGGAGGTGACTACGATTTTTCTAGGGGCAACAGGCATGGCAGTGTGGGAAATCTGTTTCTCTGTGTGTATAGCCAGACCCCCTTTCCCATCAACCTTACCAGGTCCTGTCGGCCGTTCCGTCCGTCCAGGCTCCGACCCTGGCGTGGACTCTTGTATTGATAGATTCCCCATGCTTCTCCTTCAACTGCTAGAAACCGGACAGTCTCTGATGGTTGGAATGGCGGGTGGTGTTGTTGCAGCAGCCGTTAAGCTGCTTCCTTCTTTTCCCTTGGAGTGACAACTGAGGATGGTTCCGAGCATGCCATCTTCTCATCCACCATCCAACCTGTGGTGTAATCTAGTCGGAAGGCTTGCAGTGGCAGCCCTGGGGGTCAACCTCCCACAGAAATTCTCCACATGTTAGGCAGCGGGTCCATGGCTGAGTATTTGTGGGCAAGGTTTCACAGGCCTTGCAGACTATCCCCAATGCTTCCGACGCACCGAAGGTGCAGATAGTTATGTCTCCGCAGGCTTTTAGGTGAATCCCGGTGTCAGTAACAGTAGTCTGCAGGTGGTGATGCCCGGTGCGGACACCTTCCAATCACCCTCCATGAATCCGCCCATGAATCGGATCCCAGTCATCTTCGCCCTTTCTCTGATGCAGCTCATAGCAGCTATAACAGTAACACGTGTCTCACAACAGCCGTGGCGTTGTTGTCTCACAACAGCCGTGGCGTTGTTTTATCTGGTCACACAGCATGACCAGTTGGCGCAGAAGCAGCTAGAAATCTCCTCCCCTCTCATGCAAGCAGGCTGCTTCAGCAAGTGCACAGATGAGCTCATCTTCACTGAAGTCTGTTAACTCCCTCTCTCCCCATAAAAACCGCACTCAGTCCAGAAAAGGACATTTTCTCAGAAAAAGGCAAATTTTTCTTGTTCAAAAACACATATCAAAGAGTACAGTCTCTTTAGTTACTAGGAGCATCCAAAATACAAAAATAGCTATTTTGGTCACAAATTCCCTGGTCATCGGGTCGGTTGCCATGGGTTACTGCAGCACAAAAATTTACAGAAATGGCTCAAAAATGACTAGGATTATTCCGGACGAGCCCCCAAATGTAGTGCTTACCCCTGAAAGAGTCGCCAGAATAACCTGGGTCATCACTAGTCTGTCTAGGTGTTTTAGTCTTTAGCTGTCCCATTAGCATTTAACAGCCCCTTTCTAATGCCCACAAAGCTGATATCACCTCCAGAAGTATATTGCTGAAGAACTTATAATAACATCTTCACACTGGGGAGAGAGAGTATAGGGATCCTAGACATTCTGGGTAGAACAGGTATAGACGCCACACTCACCAGTCCCTTTTTATCATCTCATTGAAGATCTATTGGTAAAATAGCAAAGAGGAATTTGAGTAACAGATGAGCAGGGATGATTACGGAGTCCTTAGCAGGAGAGACACCAGACTTGCGCCTGAAGTCCACTGTGTTCTGGGTACCTCAAGTAGCCATCGGCTTTCCTTTTTCTCCTCCTCTAGCAACAGTATAGGCCTCATCCATACTTGAGGCCTAGTAGAACACTTG